TCCGATAAAGAGTTAAATTAGATAAGATTTAAGCTACAAGTTAACTACGTTATATAATTATGATTTTGAAACTTATCTTTATGTAAGAATTATTAAGTAAGTATTGTATTTTATAATTTTAGATGTTTGGTATGTATTATTTGAATTATTAATTTTTTTACAATGATTAAAAATTTAAAATAAAAAACGTCTTTTTATGCCTAAGCTTCTCCTGGGCTTGTAAAGCTTGAAGTTTGGCCTTCACGCTTAGCCACACTTTACGCTTTTTAGAACGCTGATAAATAAGCAAGCATAACATTAAAAAATTTACAAAAAACGGATAAGGAATGTTGATACATAATTTAATACACATAATTCATAACATGCAATCAAACTTGACCTGCTAACAAAGAGGAGAGGCAATGAAGAAAGGTAATCAGACTGCTTGAACAAGCCAATTGCATATAAGTTAGCTATCTTCTATGACAATCTGTACAATGCCCTTCTATGCAGCCTGATTTTTTAAGCACCCTGCAATTTATTCCGCTTTTCATGAGATTGGGATCAATCTGTACAATGCACTTTCATGGTTTTTTTTAAAGTAATGGCCATCCTGATTTTGTATGCTTGTAGATTCATTACTATCTCAGCATCACGTTCTGTAAGTGCCAAATTGAAAGCTTACTTGGGAGGATCTTATCCTACGTTTAGTTTGGCGCCAGTCGACGCAAAAAAGTTCTTATGGGAAAGATTCCAGGTAATACAATTTTCTTCTAAATATACTTATTCTTCATTTATAAATTTCATTGTTTTTTCCATACTAATGGTTGGTACCTACATTAGCAACAATACTCATGACCAAAAAATAAAGATAATGAGGTGAAAAGGGCATGGAATATTGCCTCAACTGATCGACTAAGAGATATATTTTGTTTAGGTCAAAAGAAGGCTCAGGAAAATAGTAGGTCTCGAAATATAATTGGTTGGAAGGGATATGGACCATCATGGGTAAGTGTAGAGCACTTGAATGATATAATTGAGAAAAAGTGGAACAATGAAGGATGGAAGAAGAAGTCCAAACTTGGCCGTGATAACCAGCTTACTGTGAAGTCAGGAACCATCACTAAGCACACTGCTAGTTCAATCACAATTGCTGCCCACAAGATGAGGCTGGTAATGTTTAAATTTCATGACGAAATTTCATAGATTATTGACATGTTATACATAAGCATTTGATTCTATATATTATGTTCATTTTTTAACCAAAATCTCATTCGTCAGAAGAGCTTTTTCTATCCATTTTATGTTCCATGTGAGAAAAATTAGCATGCTGTCTGAATTTCAGTTGGGAAAAATCAGCATGTGATGTCTTTAGTTTCAGCTTGCTCTGGCTGAAATCAATCCTGGAAAACCATCATGTTTTGACTTCAAGACAAGGAATTTATAAACATTATGTACGACACACTATTTGATTTATTCCTAATCAAGAATCTTTTAAACTAAACTCTTCATTTATTGATTGTTTTCAACATGAGAAATTAGGCAAGACACCTACTGCTTCACAGTTATTCGAACGTGTACACCATCGAAACAAAGGAGAAGGAGACTTCATAGACAACAAGTCACGAATTGTGTGGGTAAGTAGAAATAAATTCAGGTTTTGATTAGACTCTACACTCTAAATTTCATG